GGGGTCTTGAGTTTCCCCAGTCCACAGGGGGACCACCCCCGTGTCCCGCTTGTCCACAGGCGGGACCGCGAGGGGGAACGGAGGGGTAGAGGGGGGCCTTAAGTTCTCCGTGTCCATGGGGGAAGCCCCTTCCCTGTCCCCCCCCCCGTCCACGCGGGGTACCGGGGGTGGGGTGGGGGGCCCATGGAGTTTCCCTTGTCCACGCGGGGGACCACCCCATGTCCCGTCCATGTCCTGAGGGGGGAACGGGGAGGGGATGAGGGCTGAAGTCCCCCTTGTCCACAGGGGGGACCACCCCCGGGGCCCGTACCGGCGGGGAAGGGATCAAAGAGAAGTGGCTTCCCTTTGATTCAATTGCAACGTTGTTCGATTGATGTCTGGCTGGATCGTTTGAGGAGGAACGTCCAGGGAGAAGGTGGGAACGGCGCCGTCGACGACTCAAACGGGAAAACGTGTCACACACGCCAACAGGGTCGGCGGATGTCACGAGGCGCAATATTCGTGCCGATGCGAACCGTGCATGGTGCAATCACTTTGGTGGATTCTGCGTGTTCCCCCGTCAGGCATCGCTTGTGTGGCATCGTCGCGAACACGACAAACAATTACAACACTCGATGGAACGCCAGGGCAAAAACGCGGAGATCGCCATCATCAGATGCATCTTGTAGCAACATCCACCCGTCAGCGCAAACGCTGTTTTGGGAAGAAGTATACGCCCCTTCCTGCAAGCGCTGTTTGAGAAAACAGGGCAACCATCAAGTAGAGCAGATAGTACCAGCTGTGCAGCACCATCAAAAGGGCACAAAGGCAAGAGCACGGACCTCGTAACCATCAATCATCCCGCGGCACGCCATGTCAAGAACGGGAAACTCGCAACTGAATGCAGCATGGGGCACCAGCCGAAGAGTGCCACTCCTGAACGCAAAATTTGCAGCTATCCCTTTGAGCGCTGCATGGGGTGAAAGTACCGCTAGGTTCCCACTGGATCGGTATTCGTCGATTTGCTGCCAGTGTTCAGTAAATCTGAGTTCGAGCTATTTGAATCATCGCAGACATTGTTCTCCTCCAGTATACTCTTTTAGACTCAAGCTTCCCGCCTGAACGTCGAAAACAAACTCGACATCCAATTTCTTTCCTTCGGTTTGACGATCGGGTTACTTCGGCCGGAACGCTGGCGGTCAATCGTGAACGTGATTACCGCTGGGAACCTCGCAGAGGTCTATTCGTAGTTTTTTCCAATCCAGAGTGTCGCCGAGTTTCGCGCTGAGGCCCCAACGTGAGCAACGTGGGCAATGAGCGTAACGTGCGCTTCACGTGCGTCAGTGCGAGGTCGGGCGGGCCATGTGTTTCGACTTTTCAAAGTGCAGGAGCGGCTAAAAAGGGCATGCGCAGAGAGCGAGCGAGCACGGGCTTGTCACACAGATGTTCGGATTTCGTGCCGTCTGGCATGCACCGACCGCAGGTCAGCGCACCTCCTGCTCTGGTCTGGTCGGCGAGTGTGCTGTGCTGGTTCCAGACCCTTGGGTGAGTACCAGGAGGGGTAATGGGAAGCCTCCCCGAAGGCAAACATTTTTTTCGGGGGGTGGGGGAGAGCTGATCTTCCCAAACAGCAACGCCTAGGTGGTATGGTTTTTTGTTTCAACGTGATGGGTTTCCATCGCGTGCGATCTTACTGCAGCTTCTTCTTCCACATCCTTATTAGTTTCGTCTTCTTGGTAATGGTAGCGTTCAGTCAAATTCGGGGCAGAGAGTGAATACAGTCGGTTTCTTGTCTTGTTGTGGCCATCCCTGTCATGCGTGTTCCTCGTCGGGATGCAGTCCTTCATGGGATAACTTGGAAGTTTAAGTGCAACGTGGCGCAGAGATTGGAGCCTGGGCTGCATGAGCATCTTGCGTCGACTAGCACAGTGACATTGGCGCAGCCCTGCATATTCATGATCGTCCGATGCATACTTTGCGGCTCAAGGGTCCGGGCTCGTGAAGTTTTTTCCTGGCCCCTGGCTCTTGCCTTCCCCTTGCTGGCAGCCCTTCGGCGTGCTGCGGCGCAACCGGCAAAGCCAGGCTCCGTCGTTTTGTGCAAGCTCTGGGGCCATGCTGGGAGCTGCTTGGTTTGTTTGTGACTTGCGAGTGCTGCGGCCTACGAGCAACACCGAACTGACGCGAATAACCGTCAGTAGCTCACGGCTTGTCAGGATCGACAGTCGGACAAGACAAATGATATCCTGCAGTCGATTGAAGCCGTTTGCATCTTCCATCCTGCCAGGCGCATGAGCGATTGCCTGGTCGGCTGTCGGACGGCCAGAGTCTTGCTCACGCGACTTCCTTTATGACACATTTTTCGCTGACGCGCCTCCTGTTCCTTCTGCTCAGTCTCACGAGGGGTGCTAGGAGGCTCGAGTCGAGGGGCTGGGGCGAGCCTTGAACTCTCGGCCGTGAGCTCTGGAGGGGTGCACTCTCTGGCTCGGAGCCCGACGCCCAGCATGGCCTGCGCTCGGGCCCCTCGGTTTTCTTTGCAGGGCAGGGAGGGAGCGGCCTGAGCAAACCAGACGTGCTCCCACCTCTTTCCCCGACGCGGTGATAAGCCACGGAGGCACGAAGGAAGGGACAATGCGCCGAAGCAACGAGAGGGAGGCGGTTGGCGTGAGTGGGGAGGGAGGGGGAGGGGTTGGGTGGGACGGGTCCGTTTTCTCCGATTATTCCTCCTCGTCGTTCCCTCCTCCTCCTTCCTCTCCTCCTCCCTCTCCGCCTCCCTCCTCTCGCCTCTACTCTCCTCCTCCTCGCCTCCTCCTCCTCCTCCTCCTCCTCCTCCCTCCTCGTTCTTCTTCCTTTCCTCTCCTCATATATCCCTACGCCCTCCCTCCTCCCTCCTCGTCTTCTTCCTTCTCCTCCTCTTCCTCCCTTCTCATCATCTTCTTCCTCCTCCTACTCCTCCTTCCTCCTATCTTCCTCTTCCGCCGTCCTCCTCCTCATCATTCCGCCTCCTCCCCTTTCCTCCTCCCTCCAGCATCCTTCCTCCCCCCTCTCCAACCCCCGGGACCTTCGGCCTCCGTAGGCCCCTGCAGCTCTCGGTCCACCTCCTCCCAAGGGCCGGTTTCTCATCCCGGGCCGTCTGCGGAGGGCCCCCAGGGCTCGAGGCGTGCCGCTGCAGGCCCCACGCAGAGACTGGCGGCCATGTCGTGCTCGAGCCGCAGGAGGTCTGGGGCTTCCCTCCTCCTCCTTCTACCCCCTCCTTTTTCCTCCTTCTCCTCCTCCTCTTTCTCCTCCTCCTTCTTCTTCTCCCCTCCTCTTGTCCCACCTCCCCCCTCCCCCTCCTCCTCCTTCTCCTCCTCCTCCTCTTCCTCCTCCTCCTCCTCCTCAACTTCCTCCTCCTCCTCCTCCTCCTCCTCCTCCCCCTCCTCCCTCCTCCTCTTCCTCCTCCTCCTCCTCATCCTCCTCACGGGAAGGGCAATCCTAGTAGATCCACCGCGTCAGTAGTGTCCTTCATTGAGAAAGTGTTTGAGCTCGTCGTCGTCATCGTCGTCATAATGAATGAGTTACTCACATTCAGCAACTAGCCTGGCGAGGGACCCAACCCATGTAACGTTGGCGATGAACCTCTCAATGCACGATAGATACCACGGATGAGGGGGACGCATGCAAACTTTTCCGCTGGGGTCTTAGGTGGTTCTCCCTAGGAGGCACAAAGTGTGTGAGAGATGCGCCGACATGTCCGCTCGTACGCCGTCCAAACTTTCCCATTGTGGTTGCTACGTGGAGTTCCTAAAGAAAGAGAGACGCCGTGCGCGTCAGAAGTGCATTGGCAAGGTGATGAAACAAACCGCTACAAGAAAGTTTTGGCGGCTCTGCTGCGGAACAGCAGCGAACTTATCGCATCGCGTATATAGTTTCATTCCAGGGTCCCTTCGGATCTCGAACCAAACCTGAAAACACACGCAGATCCAAGGCAGAGACCAGAGGCGAAGGCATTGGGGTAAGGGAACGTGTCAATCAGCACTCATGCGTGAATAACCAACTACAGCCAACAGCAAGAGACAGAAGAGTAGGAAGAGGAGGAGGAGGAGAAGGAGGAGGTGTCTTCCCAAGCTCGTTTGGCTCCCGTGTTGTGGTTCCCCTCCCCTCTTGTTCTCTCCATGTGTGCAGCGCTCTACATCAATGATGTCGCAGCCTTTGGCCTAGGTGTGTGCATGACCCAGATTGTCAACGTTGCCCCTCGCCCAGTCCCAAAACGTACCTTCGTACTTCCACCCCTAACTCTCTGAGAGTCCACTGCTGTCGTCACTTGGTAAACGACCACTTGGTGAGCGGGAGGAGGACGCCCAGGGACCTGGTGCCGAGGCCCGCCACGACGTTCGACAAGGTGAAGGCGCAGCCAGAACTCGCTGGGGCTGAGCAGTCCGCACAGATGGGGAGGACCAGTGGGCGACGTCAGGCTGGTCGAGGGTCTGGCAATTGGATCGACGCTCGTGGACATCGGCCCGAGGTTATAGTTCTACTGGTTGGCGACATGATAGCATGGGCGACAACAGCTTGCGGTATTACAGCATTGGCGACAGCGACTGCCGAGATTATGGCACAGGTGACGACGGCTGGCGAGAGAGACTACGGTGCAGACACGCGCGACGGCAGCCACGGTGACGAATGGGATTGGATGTGATATGACGTGGTTACCGTGACAGGGGCTCCTGGTGAGATCGACGCAGCAAGGAGTTCGGAGCCCCCCCTTCTGGCTCGGCCTAGAGAACCTCGACATCTACCGGACGAGCCTCAAACCTTGGACGGAGAGAACGGGTCACCACCCAGTGCACCAAGCTGGCAAGGCGATTGAGGGACGTCCCGTCGAGCTTCAATGCAAGCTCAAGACCTTTCGGAACCCCTTTAATCAGGGGTGTGCCATCGACAAGCTCCTTGACCATCTAGCGTTTCTGAACGGTGAGCGCCCTGGAGACAAAGAGCGCGAAGCTCACAACGAAGCTTTTGTTCGACTACCACATCCGCCGGGGCGAGTCGCTGACCGACCACTTGCTCTGGCGCGATTCCCAGATCACCGAGGCCGAGAAATTCTGTGCCCAGCTGTTTGACGATGAGGCAGTGTGATGGCCTAGAAGAAGCTGCGAATTTTACGCCGCAAAACAATTTCAACGTGCGCAATCTTGCGCAGGGTATGACGGACGCCGCTAGTGTGAGACATGCCATCCGGATGCTTGACGCGGCCGGGAAAAAGATTTTGCCCAGCGCCCCTCCTCTGCCCGTCAAGCAGCTACAGGTGGACCTCCTCTCCTCCGAGACTCGCGAGCACGAGGGCCGCGACGATTTATGACGACGTGATGGAGCTGTCCTTAGAAGACGCCAGCATCTTTCAGGCCGCATTCGAGGAGCAGAACCTAGACGAAGATGACGCGGAACTCGTGCTTGCTGCGGTCATCGAGCGTATGCTCGGCAGGGGGAAGCTGAGGACATGGCAGGAATCGAGGCGGGTCAGGGCGAAGAAGGCGGATCGTGAATTCTTTGACCGCGAGAGTTCCAGGCCCGGGTTCAAGAAATCACTGGTGGGGACCTTCGCAAGTCTTCCAAATGCGCGAACTGCGGAGATCGATGATGACAATGTGCTGACGAGTTCAGGTAACCGGATTGTTCGAAGCTGGACAGGTTCTCGGGCAAGAAACAGACAGGCTTGCTTTCTCAGCAGCACTCAGGTGGCAAACAGTTCAGTGGTCTTCTATTTCCCGAGAACGCCGACGGCGATCAGCGCAGTCGCGTCAACGGCGTGAGCATCGGCGAGTGGGGCAAGATGAGCACGGCCCAGCTGGCCAGAATTCAGGACGCGATCGCGTTCTTGACGCTGCGCGACCCAGGCGCCGGCGCGCTGCTCGCCGCCGCCAGCGGCCAGGCGCTTGTCGGCAAAGACAACCTGGCGACCCGCGAACAGGCGTTTTCGGCAAGAGGCTTCAAGGTGAAGATCGACTGGGCTCCGGTTCTAGGCGCGGCGGCCTCGGGAATCCTAAGCAAGGCCGCCCCCGTCGGCAATTTTCTCATCCCCGTGAACGTGAGCGCGCAAGCCGAGGTTGTGTGTTGCGATCCTTTCGAACCCCTGTACGCCGCCTTGGTTGCTGGCGCGTTCTCTGGAGATGTTGACGGCCATTATTAACGTCGCCGACAGCCAGATGGCGATGAGCACTCCGAGGGGCGACGTGGCCCACGAGCCTCCGCGGCATGACTACCAGCGTGGCTACGGGCGCCGTTCTGTGGACCTGATCACCGGGCCCACCGACGGGCGCGACCTCCACCCCGACCTGATGGCGAAGTGTCCGTTTGAGCGGTTCAAGGTCTGCCAGTTGCCCGCGGTCTGCTTCTCTGCCGCCCTCGAGGGATCGATTTCAGTCTCTCTTCCCCACTCTTCCCCTGTGCACCTACCTCGGGGGGGTCAGGGCAGTGGGGGTTCCGACGGCGGTCCAGGGTCAGCCCGTCGGATTTCGGCTGAGCCTCCAGTCGGAATGGCGAGGCAGCCCAGCTCGAGGATGCCAGGGGCTTGGTGAGCGCGAGCAAGATGAGCTCCACGGGGCTGCCGAGGACCGAGGAGGAGGCCGAGAGGGCGATCCAGGAGAAGGGCGCCTCCTTAGCTGCGATTCTGGAGAACGCCCAGACGGCGATCGCGTCCGGCATGGGCCCTGCGACCAAGACGCAGCGGGAGTGCGTTGGCCCCCCCAGTGCTGGGATCTTCCTCGATCGACCCGGAGAGCATCCGCGAGATCGTCGAGCTGGAGGCGCTCTCGCCCCGGGAGATCCTCTGGATGAGTAACGGCCCGGCCGGAACGGAGGTCGCATTGCTGGCCTGGCGCCGCGTGGCCTTGTGCTGTCTTCGGTGGGGGCAGGTGCGCGCGCAGATGATGGCCCCTGCCGCCGCCGCGCCGAACGTGAGCGCCGAGTCGCCCGGGGCGAAGGAGAGCTGCCCCCGCCCGCCGTGCGCTGGGATGAGGCGCCAGAGCGGCGCCTTGCTCTACGCGCGCCGCATGCAGTTATCCGCGACTACCCCCCGCAGCCCCCCGCGTGGACCTCCCCCCCGGCGGGGGCGGGACCATGGGGAGATGCTTCCTTTCGTTGCGCTATTTTTCGAACTCCGTTCTTTGTTCGACTTCCGCTGAGACGACGACGATTCAAACGAGGCTGGCGTGCTTCAGTTTGGGTTGGGCTGGCCTCGCGTCGGAGGGCCTTTCACGCGCGCCGAGTTGGTCGGCGGATCCATTTGAAAAACGAGCGCCCGGTAGGCCTGCCACTCCCGCGAGACCCCGCCATGTAAGAATTCACCCTCCGTCCCTCCTAGCCAAAGGAGCGCAAGGAGGCAGGATGATCAATTTGAAGGACGTATCCAGCGGTTGCCCTGTCTTGAGCAAAATCTGCCCTCCATCCGGGTACGTAGTGACAGCGCATGTCGTACGTTCTGATTCTAGCTTGCCGATGTTTTCGAACGAGTGCTTAGTTTTTGAAATGGAGCCTCCGTCCACT